CCCCTGGAGCTGACACCCTCAATTTGGACTTTTAGCCTACTTTAACTGTGAGGAAATAAACTTCTCTTTGTTAAAACCATCCACTTGTGGTGTTTTTGTTATAGCAGCACTAGATGACTAAGACAGATGCACTAAATAGAAAATAAGAATTAAAATCATATTAACCCACCCTTGTAAACAGTTCTAAAACAGTCACCAAAATTCTACTGGCAGGCACAATTTGCCCTGCTCTATTTACCAATGCTATCTTTTCTTAAATAATATTTGTTTAACCCTTTTTGCAGATAGGAGCCCTGGTGGCACAGTGGTTAAGAGCTTGGCTGCTAACCAATATAGGTCGGTAGTTGGAATCCACCGGCCACTCCTTGGAAACCCTGTGGGGCAGTTCTAGTCTGTCTTATAGGGTTGCTGTGACTCAGAATCAACTCAATGAGTTTGGTTTTGGTTTTGTTTTTTATGCAGATATGTATCTCCATTTATAAAAAGAAATAACAATCACTATTTTAGAGAACTATAAAGAGATAAGAGAATCTTTTCATAATGTGAGTATTCAAGCACTAACACATTTTACAAACACGGATTTTCTTGAAATAAGAATTCTTGTTCAGGACATAGTAGTACGTTCCTAGCTAGTAATTAAATACATAAACTTAATCAGAACTGATATTACCACTTTTCTTAATGTTTCCTATAGGCCTAAACAAAAGACCCAAGGCTACTAAAGGGTCTATATACATTGGTAATAAACAAGACCTCTGAGCGAAGAGGGGAGGGACTAGAGACACTGGTGAGTCTTTTTTTGGGTTTCTCAGAGTCAGCATCTCCTTGTCACTCTGATCTTCTCCCTCAATGTCTCAGGTACAGGTACAAAAAAAAAGATTCAACCCTTCACTCCTCTCCATCAGCAGAACGTCTGAACCCAAAGTTTTATACCAGCTGTCATCAAACAAAACTTTCATAGACAGTGACCCATAAAAAAGGTGATCGTTGAAATACTAAATCAATAGAAATTGAAAAATGGAGGCAGTAAGTTAATTTTCTTTTTAATCTTATTATCAAGATTTCATTAGGCCTGCAGTCTGATCTATAAACTTTAGGACCTGTTTAATGTTTACTTTCTATGGCTCTTACCATGGAGAGCCAAATGACGCTAGGGAGCTTTAAGTGGAGGTGGAAACTGAAGGCAAAAGTGAAAATGAAAAGACATTAAATGATTTTTTTTTTTTTTCTCTTTTCAGTAACATCAAACTATACTGGGCAGGAGAAAAGTGCGCGGTGGGGGGGGTGCAAATTTAAATTGAAATGCTAAAGCATGTTAAATAATACTGCTGTATGGAAACTTAGTCTACTCTTCAAGAAGTTTAATAACTTAAATACACTTAAAAATGTTCCTGTGCTTACGTTCCCATTTACTATTGGCAAGCAAAAAAAAACAAAAAACAAAACAAAACAATGTGCCAAAAAAAAACAAAAAACAAAACAAAACAATGTGCCTTCCCTCTACAGTACCCTCAAAGCAGCCGTCCTTCCACACTTTTCTCAGTCTGTCGCTTGTAGAAGCACGCTCACCTTTACAAAGCACCTCTCATTAAAGTCACTCCCATTCTGATCACTCCCTTACAACTCCTTTACATTGTCATTTGTACTACATGGTTTTGTAGTCAATGCTTTAGAGACTTTAAAAAAAGTTTTACTACATCATTTTAGACATATGTTTTGTATCTTCCCAACTAGCTGAACCCTGCACAGGTGACAAGAGGAAAAACTCACAATGTTAAAGGATTTTCAATGTTAACTGAACTACCCTGATGTTCCAATTTATTTTCCTTTGACATTCCTACTTTAAAAACCCATTCTTCCCTCCAAAACAATCTATGGAGAGTGCCTGAAGAAACTCTTTTGGGTGACGCTAAAAATAATAAAAACCTTTAAAGCACCCAAAGGGCTGGGTTGTACTGCCACCCAAAGTTAAGGAAATGGCCTTGATGGTTCCTCCATCCTTGAGATCTTAGGATTTGCACACCTCATCAGTAGTGTTTTACAGTTTATACAGCGGCTGCACATTCGTCTCATTTCATCCTCACACCAACCACACCAGGCAGGGAGCCCTGACCTCACTTAGAAGAGGATGGTGACACTCCTAGGTGAGCTGACTTGTCTGAGACTGCTCAGCTAAAAAAGCAACAGTGTCAAGATTTAAACCTTCATCTTTTAAATACCAAAGCCAAAGTTTTTCCTATTAATATCACAGAAAATTCCAATCCAAAACACAAAATTGCTGAAAGAAAGAACTAAAAATTTCTTAAGCCACCAACTACACAGATTACAAGTCTTTGAAACCAAAAAAAAAAAACCCAAACCAGTTACCATCGAGTCGATTCCAACTCAAGGTGACCCAATCTTCCTTATAACTCATCACACCTTTTGGATGGTATTTTAATATTTAATAACTAGCATTCTACATACTTCCTATTCTCGATGCACTCCACCACCTTACAGTAGAGTACTCTGTAACAGAAGGGCTTGAAAAACTACCAACAAAAACACTGCTCACGTAAGCCAAATTAAAACTTGCCAAGTTCAGGACTAATTGATTCAAACAAATAGAAAAGAGGAGCATCAGGCTAACCATTAGCCAATAAAGAACCTCAGGAAAGGCTGCCCTTCTATTTATGCATTATTATTATACTCAGAACCACTTTGGGACACCATTCCAGAGCAGATTTGGGATAGCATGCAGCTGCCTTTTAGCTAAAAAAAAAAAAAAAAACTGTCTAGCTGGGGTAAATGTCAAAGGCCAGCCCCACTGCAAATGCCACAATCTAAGCAGATGGACTCAAGGTAAAAGAGAAAAGACAAGAGCAAGGGAAAATGTTAACAGAGAATTTAGCGTCACCCCTCACAAGTTGGCCCCGACCCGGCAACAGTCGGGAAGAAAACACTAGCCTATACCAAACGCTGATGAGAAAATTTTTCCATGCACGAAGGAAAGGAGCAAGAGGAGAGGAGTAAAAGGACAAAATCTGGGGTTCGACCCAGAGCACCAGAGGATAACAGAGCTGAAGTCGGGAGAGCCGTGAACTAGGAGCCAGGAGAGCTGGTTCGATCGCTCACACTTGCTAGCTGCCGGGCCTTACTTAGCCAATTCACTCTGCCTCGGCCAGCCTCAGTCCTCGAGTCTGTAAAACAAGAATAATCAAGGACTCCCACCTCGCCTCACCGAGGGCCGTGACGGCTCATCTAAGACGGGACCGAAGCCGTTTCGTAAACCGAGCGCACAGTACAGTCAAGAGAACTATTATCCGAAAGGGACCATCCTCTTCCCCTGGCCCGGCAGTCCCAAGGCCCCGAGCGGAATACCGGTAGCCCGATACCCCTTAGGGCGGGCAGGGAACGAAGCCGACAGGGCCAAGTCGGCCCGTCCCCGCCCAGAACCAGCCCCGCGGCCCCAGAGAACCGCCTGCGTGTCACTTCCCCCCCACAACCCTGCCTGGGCCGGCCTCCACCCGGACCCTCACCGCCGTCTGCCCCAGCCCCTCCGGCCCCGGCTCCCACCCCCGCCGCGGCCTCGTGACTCACGGCCCGAAGGGCTGCTCTGGCGGCGACCGGCTGCTTCGACCCTGCCTCAGCGCACACAAACCAGCAACATCCAAGACCGCCAGCAACTTGCCGGATGTACGTAATGTCCCCTCCCTCGAGATTTCCGGGTGCGTGCTTACTCCCGCCCCTTCGCAAGCGTCAGGGCGCTCGGCAGCCTCGGCGCCGCCCTACCACAGACTCGAGCCGCGAAGAGGCGGGTCTAAGGCGTGACGGTACGCGCGCAGGGGCGAGCCTTGAGTTGACCCCGCCTCCTTATATATCACGCAAGAGACGTGGCAATGCCGGGGCCCAGGAGGTAGGGGCGGGATCGTGGAATGCTTCGATGCCTTAGGTGCTCGAGGGTCACGAGTTCAAATCCAGCTGCATTCCGAGACGCACGGGGAAAACCAAAAGTGATGACCTTGGAGTCCTCGACCTAAGGTGCATCCCACCAACCTTTTGCTTTGTCACATTGTCCCTGTGATAGCCTGTTTTTCTGAATAACAACGATGTTTATGCCCCAGGCAGTGCGCTGAATATATGCCTCATCCATTTAACCCTCATTACAGTCCCTGGAAGGACCAGTCCCTGGAGAAGTAGAGGGTCAGCGAAGAAGAGGAAGACCCTCAACATGATGGATTGACACACTGACTGCAACAATGGGCTCAAACATAACAATTGTGAGGATGGCTTAGTACAGGCCACTGTTTCATTCTGTTGTACATGAGATGGCTGAGTCAGAACCCACTCAACGATGTCTACTAGACTGTTGTTATGAGGAGCCCTGGTGGCGCAGTGGTTGAGAGCTATGGCTGTTAACCAAAAGGTCAGCAGCTCGAATCTGCAGCATTGGAAACCCTGTGGGGCAGTTCTACTCTGTCCTGTAGGGTCACTAGGAGTCGGTATTGACTCCACGGCAAGCGCTTTATTTATTTATTTATTTTGGTTTACATCCTAGGAAGCAGGTACTATTATTATTCCTATTTTACACATGAGATAGCTGAAGTTCAGAACAGTGTAATAACCAAGACCCAGGTTATAGAGCTAGGAAGTGGCAAAGCAAAATGATGGCCCCACTATGCTGTACTTTACGTGCGTTTTCTTAGTTAACCCTGAGGATAGCTCTATGAGATTGGTATTATTACTCCCGTTTTACAGATAAGAATGGAAAGATGAATGACGTTTTTAGATAGAAAAACTCTATCATAAAGATCTCAATTCTCCCTAAGTAAAATTGTAAATTTCACATAATAAATCCCAACAAAAGTACTAATAGGATTAATAAGTCGTGTGTGCTTTTGAAACTACCCTATTTGTCCTAAAATTCATATGAAAATATAAACAAGAATATCAGGGAATAAGTTCTGAAAAAGAAGAGTAAGGAGGAGGGAGCTAGCACTATCAGATATTAAAACATCAAACCCAAACCAAAAGCAAACCTGTTCCTGTTGACTCAGTTCATACTCATAGTGACCCTATAAGGACAGGGTAGAGTTGCCCCATAGGGTTTCCAAGGCTGTAAATGTTTTTGGAAGCAGACTGTCACATCTTTCTCCAGCTATGCAGCTGGTGGGTTTGAACCGTCAACCTTCTAGTTAGTAGCCAAGCACTTAACCACTGTGCCACCAGGGCTCCTTAAAATATATTATAGAGCCTCAGCAATTAAAACAGTTTGGTACTGGTGCAAGAAAAGCCGGACAACCCAATGGAACAGGACAAAGTCCAGAAATACATCCAAGTACATGCAGAAATTTAATATAAGATAAAAGTGGCACCTGGCAACTCCAGCAATAATCAAAGGGGGCTGGATGGTTGAGCTCACACCACTCGCCCTGCCCCCCAACCACCCCCTACCTCCCACCTTCATCCTGTGGGTCTTTGGAGTTTAGTTTGATTCCTGCACAGACAAAGGGGTCAGGCCCTATCTGAGACTTCTCACCGGCCTTGGCTAAACCAGGAGAACTGGGCTTATAGATATTTCTGTTTTGGAGGTGAGTCATCCACTGAGAGAGAGGGCTGTAGAGCTGTGTGGAGAGTGGAGAGAGCTATTTTGGAGAAGGGAGTGAGCTGACGGAGAAATGGATCAAGATAGATACACCACTGTCTTAGGGTTCTCTAGAGAAACAGAGCCAGCAAGACATGATCTATATATCCCTATATATATATATATATATATATATATATTTATAAAGAGAAATTTACTTCAAGGGATTGACTCTTGAGACTGTGGGGGCTTATAAAATCTGTAGGTCAAGTGATATGCTGGAGACTGCTGTTGGCTCATGGGATTGTGGGGGCCTGATAAATCCAGAATCTGTAGGTCAGGTGATAGGCTGGACACTTCTGCAGGCTTCTATCCCAAGATTCGTAGGTCAGGTGACAGGAAGATTGCAGAGCTGAGAGACAGAACAAGTTCTACCAAATTATCTACTGATAGTCTGAAGGCAGACCACACCCTAAGGAAACTCCCCTCTCAACTGATTGATTGCTTACATTAGATCACATCATGGAACGTCATTACATTATATTGCATCACATCACATCACATCACATTATGGAACAGCAACTAGTTTAGTATTTGGTCAAACCACTGGGAATCAGCTTAGCCAAACTGATGCATAAAATTAAGCATCACAACCATGCTTGCTAATCTTAGAGGGACTAACAGGATTAAAAGAGGAAGCTGTTCATTGTCCAACTTTAAACCTGTCTCCCAACCCCAGACCACATTGTCTGTCCTACCTGGTTAATGTGTTTTAAATCCAGTAATTATGTTTTGACTAGCACAATTACATGGCTCTAATGTTTTTTAATGTGTTTGTTAAATGCATTAATTTGGTAAATGTAAACATTTAAAATATTCCATGATTTTTGTGACCCTGCTTTGGCATGTCTTCAATTCAACAAGTATCTGGCGTCTCAAGAAATGGAAGTATCCTATCCCTCTCTGACCTGGGAAAGACCCAGCCTGAGAAAATCGAGGGTGCCAGCCCTCTTCTTGTGCTCCGTGACTGTCTTCACATGCTTCCAAATCAGGCCCAGCTACCAGCAGAGAGGCTCTCCAGCCACATGGCTTCTTTCTACAATTTCCCATCCACCTCCCCTGGGACCTGGTGACAGGGCATCGGAAAGGAACCTTAAGATCGTTCAGGCCAAAGTTCTCATTGACAGTCAGCAGCTGCTAGGGGATGGAGGGGTGTGGAGGAGCTGGCCCAAGGACACACGATGGGACATGATAGAGCCAGGACTCCAGTCCCGATCATTTCACCCAAAGCCTAAGCCACTGTTCTGCCCAGGTGGCCTTTCCTGTTCTCTTACTCTACCTCTGTCTGACCTACTTCCACCTCCTCTGGAAAGTCCTCTTACCTCTCACACCGAGCAGGCAGCAGGGGAGAAGCTCCTTGGTTGGATCTCCTTGGATTACCCTTGGGTATAATCATAGCACCACCTCACCAACTTTGAGTATTACCTAGGACAATGTTCGTGAAGCACCAAATACAGTGCCTGGCACACAGTAGGAACCCAACATTCCTCCCTTCCCTTTGTATTGGGAGGTTCTTCCTTCTTATACAGCCCAAAGTCTTCTTCCCTCACAGACACAGGAGCAATTGGGATTTGGTCTACAGAGAAGTTTTTCCAGAAAAACATCCCTTCTTTAATAGGTGAAGGCCAAGCTGGCCTCTGGGATTCTAGATAGGGTAACCAACTCGTTCCGATTTGCCCAGGACTATACGGTTTTATAGCTGAAAGTTCCACATCCTGGGAACCACCTCAATCCTACTCCTGGGTAAAGTGGACTACAGAAATCTTCCTCCTGCCTAGCACAGTGGTGACTCAAACTGGTCTTCTTAAGCAGTGTAAAAGTCAATGAGGCTAATCTACCCTACCTCTTCCCACTGTCTACGGGAAAAGAATTTGGCAATAGTAACAAAATGCCCTTGGGCTAGGGTTATGGAGGATTCATATTTGCAACACAATGCCTGCATGTCTTTAAAGTCTAGTCATTGGAAATATTATAGGCCCAAAGGACAGCTGATGCAAAGATGCATCTGTTCACATTATAGGGTTAACCCAATGCCCACAACATGTTACACTGGTAATAACGAGATTAAGTTAATAAGAATTCCTAATTAAAAAGCATCAGCTGATCCATAGACACATCCAAACTCCCTGAGGGACTGAATTGCTGGGCGGAGGGCTGTGGGGATCATGGTCTCGGGGAACATCTAGCTCAAGTGGCATAACACAGTTTATCAAGACAGTGTTCTACATTCTACCTTGGTGAGTAGTGTCTGGGGTCTTAAAAGCCTGTGAGCAGCCATCTAAGATACTCCCTTCGGGAGCAAGGGAGAATGAAGAGAACAGGATACAAGGAAAAGATTAGTCCAAAGGACTAATGGACCACAGCTACCAAGGCCTCCACCAGACTGAGTCCAGTACAGCTAGATGGTGCCCGGCTACCACCACTGACTGCTCTGACCGGGATCACAATAGAGGGTCCTGGACCAAGCTGGAAAAGGATGTAGAACAAAATTCTAACTCACAAAAAAAAGACCGGATTTACTGGCCTGACAGACTAGAGAAACCCCAAGAGTATGGCCCCTGGACACACTTTTAGCTCAATGGTAAAGTCACTCCCAAAGTTCACCGTTCATTTGGGGGTTGTACAGCCTCATAAAACAAAATGGGACTAATGAGGCACAGCAGTCCAGGGACAAGGATTAGAAGGCAGGAAGGGACAGGAAAGCTGGTGATAGAGAACCCAAGGTTTAGAAGGGACAGTTTTGACATGTCATGAGGTTGTCAACCATTGTCATAGGGCAATATGTGTACTAATTGTTTAATGAGAAACTATTCTGCAAACCTTCATCTAAGGTACAAAAAAAAAAAAGAAAAGAATTATCTATGTGACCTCAGATTGACAACAGCAACTCGAAAGCTTTGATGGGAAGCCTGAGGGCAGTGAGTTGAAGAGAATGGTGATGGAATAATTTGGAAAAGGATAGTGAGAATAGTAGCACAACTGGAAGAATGTAATCGATGTCACTGTATTGTACATGTAGAAACTTTTGAAATGGTGTAACTTTGGCTATGTA